GGAATAGCCATTTCAGGCATGGGGAAGAATAGAAAGAAAGAAAAAAGAAGTCCAAAGGTCCACAAACAAAACACAGTTGGTCTCAAGTCTTGGAACCCTCCTGTCACTGCAGAGATAAGCAGAGTGAGCTGATCGAGGGCAGACCCAAGATGAGGCACATCTCAAACAGAGCCAAAGGACTCTTTTCCTTTAGGACTTGACATGGCTAAATGCCAGCACCTTGGGCACCTTGTAGATTGGAGTTAACATGTCTGACTTTGAGGTCCCCTCTTGCCGAGCCAAAGAGTAGGGTGGATGTGGTGTTGATGACCAAGTGTTCTGCCATCTCAACCAGCTTGTTGTGCGGCCAGTGCTAAAGAATGATATCACCCCTGTTTGGTCTGAGGCTAGAGAAACAAGTCCAGCCTGTGGTCGTTCTTGTGATATATCCCGGGAGAGAGAAGCCATCCTCGGGATCCTCAGGAGCCATCCCTTTGATTCATTCATTCAGCCAGTACCCGCTGCGTGTCTCCCATGCACCATGCTGCGGGCCGGCTCCCTTCATGTTATCTCCCAGGATTATCTGAGAAGAGCCACAGTCAGATGCTTTCACAGTGTGGGATGACAGCCGAGATGGTACGTTTGTTTTGAAGAGTCAAAACCGTCCTTCTAGACCACAGGTATGAAGAATATGAAGGCCGAGTTCAAAATCAGCGATTGTCGAGCCTTGTCTGAGCTTCTCAAACTTTAAAATTGCTTGGGAGATCTCGTGAGATTGGCCCTAACCTCAGAGATTCCGAGTCGGCGAAGGATGAGGTTCACAAATCTGTGGTTTTAAAAAACAAGAACCAGCGTGATTTTGATGGAGGCAGGGGATGGGCTGACCCCGGGATTTTAGAAACACATTTGTGAGGGGTAGTTTCGGGTTGTGCAGGTCAGTTACCTCGGAGACTTCTTCCCCATCATACACATCTTCCCATTTCCACCCTTTTCTGGCCTGCTGAGCCTCTTTTACTTAGGAGAGTATTATTGCTGCCTTCTGCTCTGTGGGCGAAGCAGAAGATTTGAGAACCAACTGTTGTACATAAAACGATTTTAGGCAGAGTTCAGATTGAGGGCTCTCAGAGGATGCTTTTGTTTCCTGGGACATTTTTAGGAGAAAGGATGTTAAGGCTTCAGTGAGGCGGCTGGCCTCCGCTGGGCACCTGCCGTGCTCTGGCTAGTTCACCTGTCCAGCCGGGAGGTAGAGTAGCAGGAGGTAGACCTCGGTTCAGACCGTCCCCTCATACTTACCCACTGTGGAATCTTGAATCTAAACTCACATAAACTAACGTTTCTATGCTGCCCTTCACTCAGGAGTTAACTGGTAGGCTGTCTGGCTCGTGGGGGCTGGTTGGGGGGGCTAATAGGGATGAGGTATACAAAACAGGAAGGCTCTGAGCAGGCTTCTCACACTTGCCAAACTTGTAAATCACTGTGGGATCTTGTGAAAATGCCTATTTCAGTGCAGGGGGTCTGAGGTGAGCCTGAGACTTTGCATTTCTAACAGACTCCCAGCTGAGGTCAACGCTGCCTGTCCATGGACCATGCTCTAAGTAGCAAGAATCTTTTTTTAATTTCTCTCTTTTTTTCCCTCTGAGTACAAGAATCTCAGAGGTGCTCCTCGGGTTTACTATGAACTGGGAGTGCCGTCAACTAAAGTTAACAAACTGGCAATTCTTTTTTTAGCCCTAGGAATGGAAGACAGTCCTACCCCTTACCTACTGCCGATCATGCAGATGGGCAGAGAATGCTTCTGGCCATGAACAATTTTTTCCTGGTCCCTTCAACTATTAATTGTGTCCAATAACATAAGAACTACTGAAAGAGAGGGCATAGAGGGGGATCATCTAACTCTGTGGGCTGAGAGAGGTTATCAAGAGCAAGGCTTCAGATGTACAAAGTATAGGTGGCCCTTAAGGTTCAGGAATTACGGTTCCTTAAATCTCTTTAAGAGTTTACCTGTAAAAGAAAGGCTTTTAGGTAGAAAACGAAAGGAGAAGGTCTTTCCTCCATCCAATAACACCAGCTTTAAACTGTGTGAGAGTCATCTGGAGAGGCTGTTACAATGCAGATTACCTGGCCTCAGCCCAGAGTTTCTAATTCAGTCGCTTGGGGTGGGGCCGAGAATTTGCGTGTTTAATGCATTCCTAGCTGATCCAGATGATCATACGTTGAGTAGCAGACTTGAGACCCCCAAGGCCGTCATCTCGGAGAGTGGTAAGCATGGAGCACAGTGTCAACCACGTCTTCCCTTTCTAACGCTTCCCATCAAAGGGGCATTGCCAGGAGTGCGAAATGTTTAAGCTGGGCTGGTGTTCGCAGTGTGAACGGGAGCTCCACCTGTCTTCAGGTATCTGAAGGCCCTGTGAGGGTTAGGAAAGATGAGATTTGTGGTGCCTACATGTAGCTCTTCCCAGCACGGTGGGGTCCCCCAAGGACTGGGGCTAATAGAGCCCCTCCCCGCAGTGTGCTTCCTGGGAGATTCGGGGGAGCATCCAGGTGCAGGACTCCCTATGTGGAGAAGAGCGAAGCACCGGATGGGCATTAGGAGCTGCTCTCCTTTTTAATGATTCCCAGACTCAGCTCTAATGATCACTCAGCAAGCAAATGATTCCCCAGCAGGAAATTGGACCCTTTGTGGAGTACATTTCCTCGCTGGATCCCTAAAGTTATCGTCAATACATTCTGGCTGCATTTTCCAAAGTGCTTCATTTCCCATCCAAGTATGGCTTCCAGCCAGGACCATCTGGCCAAGGGAACCCATCTGGGGTGAAGGCCCCATTAGGAACAGCACTGTCCACAGCCACTCAGCCCCGATCAAAGCCCCGATGACAAAATCCCAAAGAGAACACTTCTCAGGCAAACTCAAAGTCAGGTTCAAATTGAGGCAATTATTTAGATAAGGAGCTGCAATAAATGGTTGTCATACACACGGATTTGAGGAGTGCCGGCCCCCGTGGAGTTCCCTGGTTCACCAGCAGATGCTCAGAGAGGGTCCCTAGGCGCCATGCTCTGTGCCAGGTGAGCTTTATAAAGGGGACTTGGGAACAGTCCCTGCTCTTATGTTGTCTGCGGTCAGGAAAAGGCAGACACTTAATTATGTACCTGTCAAAGCAGAACCCCCAGAACAGCACGTATCTAAAGTAGACCTCCTGTCATCCACCCTCCCTTGCCCAGGGAGGGATGCCTCCTCTTCCCTCTTATGGCATAAGCTGTGTGAGGGCACTCCCAGGAGCAGCTCTGTGCCGCAGGGCTGTCCCTGCGGGGGGCTGATGGCTGACAGCTGCTTGCCCCCTTCCCCTTCCCTCCTCGTGCCTCAGGCATGGGCAGCAGATGCTTCTGAGGGTCTGCGCAGCCACAGAGGCTCCCCCACCTTGGTGGGCATCAGAATCACCTGGAGGGCTTGTTAAAAACAGATTGCTGGGGGGCGCCTGGGTGGCTCAGTTGGTTAAGCACCTGCCTTCGGCTCAGGTCATGGTCCCGGAGTCCTGGGATCGAGTCCCACATCGGGCTCCCGGCTCAGCGGGGAGTCTGCTTCTCCCTCTGACCCTCTCCCCTCTCATGCTGTTTCTCCATAAAATCTTTAAAAAAAAAAAAAAAAGATTGGTGGGCCTCACTCGTGGTTCTGATCCTGTAGGTCTAGGATGGGGCCAGAGGATTTCTAGCAAGTTCCCAGGTAAGGCTGACACTCGTGGGCCCCGAGTGTCACGGGGAACCACAGGGGTAGCGCGTGAGCATGGCCATCACGACTTACCCAGGGACAGATGGACGGGGATTGAATGACCGAGTGGCAGGAGAACGTCACAGCTCTGCCGGTGACCCAGGCGAGAGAAGATGGGGCTCTGAAACACGATGCAAAGGATGGAAATGCTAGGACCTGAGATGGGAATGGACCTGCTGGGTTTGCGGTTCATGGAGACCGTCAGGTGGAAATGTGAAGAGGGTTCTCAGAATACCGTTCAAACCTCAGGAGAGAAATCTGAGCTGTAGGCACAGATTCGGGGGCCTGTGGGACAGAGGTGTGAGCTGAAGCTGAGGAGCTAAGTAAGACTAGTTAAGGGCAGCTCACTGAAGAGAGAGTGGTGAGGTGCCCAGAGGAAGCCAGAACACCTGGAGGGCCGGGCCGAGAGGGAGGGCAGTGGCATGGCTCCCAGGTGCAGGAAGCAAAGGGGCAGACAGACGGTGTCACCAGGAAGGGGCAGAACCAAATGTGGGAGCGTCTCAAAAACTCAACCCAAGCATGACCCATTCTGGGGACCATCCTCCAGAGTCTGGGTGGTGTTTGAGGGGTGAGTGGGAGGAACTGAGCCACGTATTTTGAAGCACTTGGTTTTTTTAACTCTTCATCGCCTTGGCCTGGTCCGTTTTCTTTTGCCTTGGTGACCCAGTGGCTTCATGGAACACGCATAAGCAAAACGAAGCAGGCCCTGCCCACACACGTGGGGCGCAGTAACCATGCATGGCCGTTCGGCTTCCTTCTCCGAAGAGCATCAAAGTGAACAGGGCGGTAGCTGAGGGTGAAGCCGGGGGTCCATGCTCCCACCTTTAAGCTAGGCTCCAGGGAGAAAAGATACCATGAATTCCTCTTCCTTCCTCCCCATTTGATACCCATCTGGACCACCCCCTCCCCCCGCTCCCCAGGACCTTGAAACCACTGGTTTTACAAGGATAAGAAGGATTCCGACAACCCATTTTGAGCTATTTGTACTAGAGTGCTACAAAAAGAATTGATTTCTATTAACTGAGAGCCCCCCCACCCCGGGGTGATAATTGTGTGTTTTATGGATAGTTTGCTTTTTAATTTGTGGGACTTTTGAGTTCTCTGGGTCTTCACAAACCCTAAGAACACAGAGGAAGTCCGACAAGTCTCTGAAAAAGGCCGATGAGTCCGGTTCAGGCACTTCTCGGCCCCTCCGGCTGCCACTGGCCGCAGGGGCTTTAGGCAGGAACGCACACCGACTTGTGCTCTGTCTTTGCAGTTCTGTACGGAGCTAAACCAGCCTATCCTGCCCAACATCCGCAAGTGGAAGGGGCCCCGGGGATGCTGGAAGGCCGTTGTTGCTGAGATGCCCTCCACTCAGCTCCAGAAGGTACCCTCCATGTGCAAAACCTGGATTTTATCTGCATCTTATTGCAACCTCCTTTTTCCCTAATCACAGGCATTTACATATTTACTTTGCCAACATCCTTGATGCAATTCTGTGTTTCTGCACATTTCTTAGCTCCTTGCCATTCATTTCAAAATGCCCTGGTTCCTGTTTCACGTTTAGCTCGGGAATGGACCGCTGCCCAGACGGAAATGGGAGTTTAGGGTGTTGGGAGGAGAGGAGAAATCCTGTCTGGAGCCAAGGCTGCAAATGGGGTATTTCTGTCCTTTGTCTTCTTAATCCCGTCTCCACAGTTCCATCCTCTGCCAAGTTTGTGGAGAGCCCATTGTTCATTGACTGAAAACTTCAGATTTGCTTAATTCATACACGAAGCATTGGCTTTCAGTGGTAGAGATTGTGCGCATGGAAATGTTCTATGGACATTTTGAACAGATTTTCGTTTTGAATGTTCTTTCGTTGGTATATACCCTGTGGCTGTGGGCAAATTGCTGAAGGGGTACGTTTCACTCTTACAGATCTATTCACGACTGATTTTTATTCACTTGGAATGCTGGATATTAGTAGGGTTTTAGATTTTAAAATAGACTTCCAATAGTTCATCATGAGTCCAACTGTCATTACATGGTTTTTCTATAAATGCACATGCTGTATTTTTTTTCTCTAGTGTACCTAACACGTTTATAAACGGGAATAGTGTTTATGTGAGTGATAGTGAGATGTGAGGCTTTTAAATTATAAATATATACTGGATTAAAAGTATCCAGTCATTTGTGGACAATAAGCTCTCTTTTTAAAGCTACTACTTAAAAATGTGATGTAAATCTGATTTCTCTGGGTTTTATGTTCTGGAGTGTAAACGGTTACTATAGGTGACAGCCAATGTCCATTTCCCCACAGGCTGGAAATTTAGCCAGATTGGGACATACCTAGTCTTCACCTCTGTAGCCCATGGCTGTCCCTTCTCAGTCCATATAGAAATAATACCACCTCGCCTTCTTTAAAATAAAAAAAGCACTTTATACATACGTAGGTTCACTAGGCTCTCGTAGTCCATTTAACACTGTTTATCCACTGAGAAATCATCAGAAAGGTTACCACGTGCCAGACCCTGTGCCACATGCAGATACACATCTGTGAGAAAAACAGACCCAGGAACCCAGCCCTGCCTTGTTCTTAGTCCTTGCAAGCCCAGGGCAAGAATCTATCCCGAGCTGATGGAGCCCCTCCCTCGGGAGCTCACAGCCTGTTGGAGGCACGAGGCAGGAACCCCTACTCCAGGTTGGGGTGGCAAGGCCGTTGGAAGATAGTGTGCAGTTGCAGGGAGACCCAAGTTCAAGCCACTTCAACTTTTCAGCCTCAGTTCCTTCATCTCTAAAATGGGAGCACTCTCCCCTTCCTTCAGTCAATCACTGGGTTGCTGTAGGATTTACAAAGATCACGTGCACTGACCTGCCCCATTAACCGAACACAGACCGCATGAGGTGGCAGGCTGGCCAGGCTGTGCCGACTGGAAGTCCATATATTTCTCTCAGGCTGCAGTTGGCTCATCACACCCTTGTTGCCATGGAGGCTGGTGGGCCTCGTGTGGACAAATCTCCCGGCCTCTCAAAAGATGTAAATACCTAGATTTTAATGTGAAATTTCCTGACTTTTAAATATGGACACATAAGCTAAAGTGCTTTTAAATGCTGTTTAGCAAATTGTGTCTGTGAGTCACACACGTCCCATCTCTTCCCTGGACAACTGTGGGCAGGTGGCAGCCTCTGCTCAGGTCTCCAGTCCTCGCCCCACAGCCAGAGGGGCATCTGTAGATGAGAAAACCGAGCTCTGTATGACAAAACGACTTGCCCGTCCTCTAGCGGCCCCACGGTGGGGTCAGGCCCGAGCCCAGGTGGCGCTCTGGCACTAACACCCGGATCTCCGGCTGCCCCGCGTGGAGGTGAGACAGTTCTTCCAGAGCCAGGGGCCGCCTGGGTCCGGGGGATCGGGAGAGGCTCCCAGAAGCGCCCGGTGCTGCTGGGCACACCGGTGAGCAGGTGCGAAGGGCAGCCTGAACAGGCAGGTGCCTACCTAGGGGGCCCCTTGGGCAGTGGCTAGTGTGCACTGGGGAGCCACGGAAGGTTTTTAAGCAGAGCTGACCACCTGCACAGTACACCAGGAAGGTTACTCTGGCACCTCTGCTTGAGAAACAGTAAATGGGAAGATGACCCTCCAAAGTGGAAAGGGCAAATCCCACTTCCGTCACTTGATCCCCGAGGAAACACATTTAGAAAAATGGAGGGCTCTGTGATCCCACGGCAGAGTGACCCTGAGGCAGGTGGCCCTGAGATCCAGGTCTTCCAGGTCTTAAATTGGGGCTCTCTCCAGGGGCGGGCAGGCCTGTGATTATAAATCTCAAAGTGCACAGCATGCAGAACACGGTTCCTTCCCTCCTCCTCACCACGAGTTGGTCTAGTGGAGGTGCTGAGCCCAGCAAGGCGTGGGGCTGGGACCTGTGCGGATGCTGGGACTCAGCACAGGCCACTTAGGTTGCGCAGAGTCCCTTCCTCTCCTTTAGCAATATGTGTTGCTGGCCCCTCCAGCGATGCCTACAGCTCCTACTGCTGATCCCCGGCAGCGGAGCCTCCAGATGCTGGGATAGAGTGGGGAGAGGAAGCTTTTCCTCTTTCCAGAAGGGACAGCAGCGAGAAGCAGGCAGATTCAGAGTGGCCCATCTGCAGCCAGAGCTGGCAGAGGTTAGCACCAGACCTCAGGACACTTCTGCCACCACCCACTGGCCCTCACAGGCCCCTGTCCCCGGGCTGGAGGCCCTTCTGTGGGCCCTGTCCACCTGCAGAGTGCCCTTGGCTGGTTCTAAACAGTGGGGACTGTCAGCACTGACCTCCATCCATCCAGCAAATATATATGGAGGATTCACTAGGCACTAGATACTGGTGGTTGTAAGCTACAACTAACCAGTAAGCAAAGCCAGCCCTTTGCAGTCTTCTGTTTGATTCTCAACATCGCTGTTTACCAGCTGTGGGATTCGAGGGAAGTTACTTAACCTCTCTGAGCAGCTGAGTCCCTGCCTGGTGGACATGGCTGTGAGTGTCTATCTCATGGGATGTGATGATTAAAAAGATAACTCTGTGCTTAGTCGGGGCTTCCCCTCACTTCACTCCCCAGAAGATAAGAGCCCAAGCACCCTAGCTGCGCCTAAAACCCTGAAATCGGCAACATGGGAAATTTGGGGCGGGAAGCAAGGAGGAACACACTGTGGCTTTTGGGGTATGCTTGTGTTTCAGAAACAGGCCCTGTGCATGTGATCTCAGGACCCAGTGCAGAGCCCCCCTTGTCTCTTCCTGGCTTCTCTTGCCTCTTCCCACCAGCTTGGGGCTGAGCCCTGCCACAAAACAGACTGGTCTCCAAACTGATGCCTCCTCCTCTCCTGCAGGGGGCCGGGTTCTCTGGATTCCTGTGGGATGCTGCGGCCGGGGTAGAGCTGAGAGACGCCACCTCGCAGGAAAATTCGCCTGGTAATGGGCACGGGAAGCCGATGGGGCCCAGCCTGTACCTTGCGCGGTTCAAGGTACTGTTGTGTTGCTGTGAAGGTCTACTTCTAAAATGGGGTCCGGGTTGGGGGGAGTCCCTTTCTGAACTGTGATCCAGAGCAGCCTCATCTACTCTCTCCCAGGGTCAGGTCAGCATGTACTCTCGGGGTTCCCTTGACTGATGAACCTGTCCAGGGCAGGAATGAGGAGGATTCTGGGGGACTCTAGCTCTGATGACTCTGGCGTCTGGGCAGGAAGGAGATCAGGTGGCTGGTTCCCAAACCTAACACACATCAGAATTACCTGGGGAGATTTTCTTAAAATCAGGGATTCCTGGGTTTCACCCCAAACACACGGAATTTCTGGGCTAGGGCCCAGGACTGCCCATTTTTCAAAGACCCCTTTAGGGCCTCTTCATCCCTCTGACATTTGGAAATCACTGGACTAGAGGACAGCAGAGCTTGTCTGGAGACCCCCTTCTCCTTACGAGGGCGAAGGGGCTGACCCTCAAGGGGCCATTGGGTTCAGAGGGGATTCAAGAGGAGCTTCTGGGCTGTGGGGTCAGGGCAACCCCACCCCTGACCTCTCCAGATGAGCCCTCCCCTGGCTGTCCCTGGGGAGTGTTCTGAACAGCGAACACTCAGAAGCTAGGCACAAGGAGGAAAAAGAAGCCAGCAGCCACCGGATCACCCAGGCGGCACTCAATTGACCTGATCCCCCTGGCACTTAACTGTGAAATCACAGGGCGGGCGGGGTGGGCCCTTGCCACAGAGCCTAGCAAGCCACCTGCTGGGTGTTTGAGGACCACCCTTCTGTGCGCTCCAGAGCAGTTCTGGAGCCTGAGAGTTACCTCAAGCCACAGCATGGTCTCTGGCGGCCCCTGGCTGGGGCAGCCCCTGTTTTGGGAGCTGTGTTGGCTCTGGTTGGAGTCTAGCCCAAGCTCGTGCCCCTAGGCTGCAAAGTTGCTGAGGTTCTGTGTGCGCGCCCACACCTAGGGGTGTCTGCAGGTTGTGCTTAGGAGACTGATGTGAAAAATCAGCCAGTTATCCTCTTTAGATCCTCCTAACACCACACTGGGTGGTGATGCTTGCTCTGACCTGACGAGCCCATAGCCAGACCAACCAGTGTCTCTCACAGGCTGGCTGTTTTTAGTGGCCAATGAGAAAATGCTACGTCTCATCAGTTGTTGGCCCAGATCCTTTAAAGGGCCTAGACAGGAGTTCAGCCTCCTATCCTTCACGTCCCATTCTAGGCTGGCAGTTGGTATGGTATGGAGATGGGGCTTGTCTCCAGCACCACCCCCCCGCCCCCCCCGCCCCCTGGCCGGGTTTCCCTGCCTGTGGCCTCACGGTGGTTCCTCTGTGGTCAGAGCCAGGGCTGCAGAGAGCTCTCCAGGCTGGGTGGTGGTGGGCAAACTGGGGTCACATGTGTAAGATGAAACTGGCAGCCTCCACTTCCTGGGGGCTCCCCCTGCACCCCCTTCCTCCTTGGCAGTGTTTAGTGTTTGTTACCATGACAAACAGAAGGGCAGGATTGCCAAACCCCGAGCAGCTGAGCAATGCTGCCGTGCTCACACCAGCTCTGACTGCATGTTCCCATGTTCCTGTACCTGCCCACGCGGCACACACCCTGTGGGGGGGCACCTGCCCGCCGCGGCACGCACCCGGGGAGGGGGGCACCTGCCCCCCAAGGCGCTCACCCTGGGCGGTGGGGAGGGCACCTGCCCGCCGAGGCGCGCACCCTGGGCGGTGGGGGGGGCACCTGCCTGCCACGGCGCGCACCCTGGGGGCGCAGGACTGGGCATAGTCTGTGCTGCCGAGGTGCAGCCAGCTTCCCTGTTTGACACATTTGAAATCTGGTGAAAGTGAACATCAGAGCAGAGCGGTCTCTGGAGGGAAAAAGCAGAGGGGGTGGGTGGGGTGGGGAAGGAAGTGGGTCCCAGAAGGGCGTCCTGGCAGAGGGATCCCAGGCTGGCCCTAGAGGGGGAGAACCCAGTCTTGGTTAATGACCAGCTGCTAGAGCTGCCACCGCCACCTCCTCCCTTGTCGTTGCTTAAAAGGAAAAAAACCAAAACCAGAACGTGACATTTCCAGATGTGCCTGGTTTTCCAGACTCTAAGTTGGAGTAGGGGATGTGATGTAGGGGGGGTGGACTGATAGGACAGGATAAGTTTCGGTCCTCCAGGTGCCTCAGAAAAAAATCTAACCCTGAACCACCTTGCGTTAGCTCTTGGCGTGTGGGCCAGCCTGGTTTGTGTTCACTGTTGTCAACGTCGTGCAAGAAGCTACTTGTAAGTCGGAAGTAACGAATACAGGAAATATGAACATCTAAGCCTGTCCCTGTTGCTTTGTTTCCTCTTGCCTCAGGTGGGAAGTAATGACTTGACCCTTGTGAACCTTCACCTGGCGGCCCTGACCCCCCCAGGGGGTGAGAATCCAAGCAGGAATCACAGTGACAGCCACCGCTTGGCTGGCTTTGTACAGACCTTGCAGGAAACCCTGAAAGGTAGGAAATGCTCTTTCTCCGTGGCTGGGCTGATAGCTCCCAGATTCTGGAGGGCAGGCATGGGGTTGCTCTGTCTAAGCATCTCTCCGATCCCTTAGGCTGACCCAGCTGTCAGCAGCGGTGCATACTGAGGGTGCAGAGGACCGCCACCCCTGTGTGTGGTGACATCTTTGTCTCAGCGGGCCTACCATGCACGTCCCGTGATACTGGCTTTGGGGCTCTTCTAGCCTCTCTTTGATGGAAAGGATTTGGCGGGGGTGGGGGGCGGGGGGAATGATGACACCTTTCTCCGTGGCCAGTCCTCCTGGTTCAGCTGCCGCTGTGGTCGTACCACCTGCAGATTTGCACGTGCTCATCTTGTGAGAGCAAGATCGTGGGTGACGGGGGACTGGGAAAGTCCTGATGAGCACAAGTAGGCTTTTTCTCCCTGGTGGGATGCAGGTCGCCCTGAAGGAGCCCCGGCACCCTCAGGAAGTCGGGATGTTCGTCTTGGCTCCTTCAGTAGCTGTAGGACCTCAGGTGAGCCCCACACGGCTTGAAGCTCATCCGGTTGGGGGGTGGCTGATGGTCACCTCCCAGGGCTGCCCGGTGGGCTTGGTGACTGTCTGTGGACAAACCAGGCACGTAGTAGGGGCTCGGCAGACAGGAACTGACTCAGAAAATACCAGAACACTGAGAAGAGCAGAACTTCAGGAGGGAGTCCGGTCTCTGGGTCCAGGCTCTGCCCCAGCGTTACAGAAAGTTCTCGTGTGCGGGGTTTACCGGAAGGAAAAGTTGCCACTGCTCTGACACCTGGGCTCTTGTCAGCTTGGCTTGGTTATTCAGAGCCCTGCCCTTCTCTAGGTGAGGGTTTCCAGCTGGAGGCCTGCAATTCTCTTCCATGCTCACCAAAATTCTCTCGTTTTCTGTCTTTTGCATGTTAGATGAGCCCCTCCCATGGGTGATTCATGAGCATCCAGCTATAAAAAAATAATTTGGTCACATTATAAATTTACATCTTAAAAAGGTGTTTTGGTTGCAGCAAAGTATACATGACGTGACAGTTACCATCTTGACCATTTTTAAGGGTATGGTTCAGTGGCGTTAAATACATTTACATGGTCTTACCACCATGCCATCCGTCTGCAGAGCGTTTTTCATCTTTCCAAACTGAAACTCTGTGCCCATTCAGCATGAACTCCCCGCTGTCCCCTTCCCCAGCACCCCTGCGACCACCCTTCTCCTTCCTGGCTCTATGAATTCGACTACTCCAGGGACCTCCGCTAGGTGGAATCGTGCGGTATTTGTCCTTTTGCTGCTGGCTTACTTCGCTTACATTAGGTCTTTATGGTTCATCCACAGTGTAGTCTGTGTCAGAGTTTCCTTCCTTTTTCAGGCCAAATACTATTTATTCCACTGTCTGTCTCCATCGCATTTTGTTTATCCACTCATGGTCTTCTGGCTGTTGTGAGTAATGCTGCTCTGGACATTGATAGACAACTTACATTTTGAACCAGGATGTGCTGTGACCAGCGTTCTACTTCACTTAGGAGTTTTGGGGCTTAAACAAAAAAAGAAAGGTGTTTAAGCTGAGATACTCCATCCAAGAAGCATCTTTGTGGGAAATTGTTCACCCACAGTTAGTTTCTAACGTATTAAAAAGGATGACCTGATAGCCTTTAACATCTCTGGACGTTTCTATCGTTCTCTGCCTCAAGCTCTTCCTTGCCCGTACACGGAAGCAGAAAGGGAAAATGCTGGTTCATAACTTCTCTGGTAACTTCTCACTGTTTTTTTTCTGACACCCAGAGAGTGAGCAGGTTATTGAACCAAGTTGCCAAGGGGACTATTGACCCCCAGCCTGGCTCACATTGACTTGTCCTGGTATGGACGGTGACTCATGTTCCCTGCGTCCTTGTGCTTATAACAAATATCCAGTTAATAGGTGACACGCAGGCCCAAGGATTCAGGAAGCATTCCAGCCTGCCCAAGGTGCAGAGGCAAATCGATTATTAGCAGAGGTGGTGGAGCTAAAACAAAGACTAAGCTTTTTATTCCACAGCCTCTCTATCAGAGCAAACAGAAGTGATTTGATTAGCAAACTCTGGGACTTTCTGCCTTTGTCTGGAATGTGCGTCTGGGTTGACATGAGTGTATGGCCAGTCCTCTGATGGAGTGGCCTTCTTTCAGACCCTCTCCCCGCCCACCCCCCCCTCCAGGACTCACTCTGTGAACTCCACTAGAGTGAAACACCATGCGTAGTAATGCCTGGCATCTGGGTTGGACCATCCCTCAGTGGGGACCAGCTTCTGCTGTTGTTGCTGGCATTCTGCAAATCTGGGGACTATCTGAGGAAATCCACCCCAAGCATTCTCCCCTTATTCCTGGGAACTAAGGAGCCCACCCCAGGCAGATGGCTTTCCAGGAGAGTTCAGTTCTCTGCGCACCTGTGGATTCTCCGAGGCAAGGACCGTGTTGATGTCCTCAGCGACACCAATTTAACAGAAAGCAGATGAGTGGTAGGAGACCTGGATGTGCCCATTCAGAAAGAGAGCTGTTATTTTCATTCTTGAAGTTACACAGAGAGCTGGGTTCGTTGACCTTTGACACCAGCATCTCTCCTAGTTTCAGAATTGGCTTTTTTGGCCAATTCTGGGAACCATGGTTCTCAATCCTGCCTGGCTACTTTTTCAGGTCTGCCTCCCAATGAAAACTTCTCTCATTATGTGGGAACCTTCTGCTTCTTTTCTAATAACGTTCAGTTTTTCTTGTTATTTACTAAATACAGCATCATTCTCTTCTTTCCTTTCAAAAAGTACATCTTAACTCTGGCGTTTTCCTTGTGCCTCATTCATCCATTCATTGCATACGTGTTTATCGAGTGTCTGCCATGCAGCAGGCCCTGTTCCAGGCATGTGGGATTTTGTGAAGAACAGCCCCCCATGTCCTCGTGGCTCTTCTGCTCTAGCTCTTTGTGAAGAGCACTGGACTTGAGGGCTGGCCTGGTGATTTGGAGCAAGCCATTCAGCCTCTCAGAGACTTAGCTCCTTACCTGTGGAGAGGGCCCAATACCAGGTGAGGGCTCGTGGATGGGCATTAGCACTGGTCAGGTAGGAGTTGTTCTCAAGTCTTCTTTTCCTGTTGAGGTCGGCACTGATTTCGCAAGACAGCGTGAGCTTGCCCTGCTGTGGCCACCAAGGTTGTTGAGATAGAGCGTAGAGGTACCATTACATCTCTGTAGGCCACACAGTGGGGCCACAGGAGTCTTCCATCCCGTCCCCTTTTGTCCCTCCCGGCCTCTAGCGGTGGGGGTGACCTCTGCAGGGCACGAGTGCCCTCTGCTGGTGGCTTATGTCATTTCACGTCAGATTTCTTTGCCTCTAACTATTATTGCTGAAACCTATTCGTATCCAGGAAAATGATTTGCTGAGTGTCTCAGATATGTTTGGCTCTCATTCATGAACTGCTTTCCTCAAAGCCTCCCTTGCAAGTTAGGACGGGAACACTGCTCCCCACAATAATGTGGCTCCCCTGAGGGAACCTGGAGACCGGAGGTGATGGTTAAGCAGAGACGATGGGAATCCCAGAGCCTAGCTGGGGTCCACTGTCCTCTCAGAATGTCTGCTCCGTCTGGGAAATACTTTATGATGACTCCACTTACTCTAGTGTACATCAAACAATGGTAGAAATGTTGGAAATACTTTAAAGAGAAAACCTTTTCACTCTGGCCCTGTATTAGTCAGTTAGGGCCGCCATAACAAAATACAACAGTCTGGGTGGCTTAGACAATAGAAATTTATTTTCTCACAGTCCTGGGGGCTGGAAGTCTGAGAACAAGGTGTGGGCAGGGGTGGTTTCTCCCGAGGCCTCTCTCCTTGACATGTAGATGGCCACCGTCTTGTATCTATGCACAGTTTTCCCCACTGTGCCCAATGAATGTTTGTCAAGCTCTTATTAAATAGCCAGGTGAGACCCTCAGGCTTTTCCTTCCATGAGATTCAGAGCACATGGCTGGAATAGGAGTGATCTCTGCATCACATAGCTCCCCTTTTCCAAATATGTTACTAACCTACTCTTAGAGTCTTGTGGTATGTTGGGGGTTTTTTTGTTGTTGTTTTTTTGTTGCACAAGGTATTTAGAAAAATTGGAAGAATGAGAACCAGATGCATTCCTGACCCTGGGGAGTCCAATCAGAGACTCGAGATCCCAATTTGTGGGCTGTGATCAATATTGGGTTTACCTCCCTCCACCTTTTAAATGCCTGATTCTTCTTTCTTCCTCCTGCAGGAGAAAAAGACATGATTTTTTTAGGGGATTTTGGCCAGGGTCCTGACAGCAGTGACTATGATATCTTGAGGAAAGAAAAATTCTACCACCTGGTCCCTGCGCACACCTTCACCAACATCAGCACCAAGAATCCCCAAGGCTCAAAGTCTCTGGACAACATCTGGATCAGTAAAAGCTTAAAGAAGGTTTTCACAGGTAAAGCAGAGGTCACTCAGTCTTTCTCCTGTTCAGAAATGGAATAAGAGAGACTTGTCCAAACTGATAGTGCCAGATCCTTTGGTTTGATAACTCTGGTCGGGAGTTCTCTTAGCTCCTCTGTGGGCATTTACAGGATCATATATAGTTTAGGCACCTCTGTAACTATCATTCAAACAGAGCCACTCTTAAGAGGGAAGGGGGGCTGTGAAAAATTATTAAAAAGCATTCACTGATCTTCAGCAGGGGCAAACCTGGTTCTAGGCCAGTAGAGTACCGATTCTGAGATGAACCGATAGCTTACTCTAATTTTAAGGACACTTAGTCATTTAGCAAGCATTCCTCAAGCCTCGTCACATCCAGGCGCTGTGTTGTGGCTTGTGGTTTCCTGACCCACTGTCAGTGCCCCGAGAAGCAGCTGTTGAGGATGAGCAGACACCTCTCAGAGCATCCTGAGCATCCTCCCAGGATGCTCTGCGTGCTTTACCTGGAACGCATGAGGACCAGGGTGCAGTGGGTAATCTCAGTGCTACGATGCAGTCCCTGCCACCCCCAAACCAGTAAGCTGCCGAGCAGACTTTGGGTCAGGAAACAATTAGAAATAGGACAGTGACAGGTAATGTCTTTCAATGAGCAACAGGAACCGTGGTTCTCAATCCTGCCTGGCTGCTTTGCTAAGGCCCAACATGTTATCCATATTATACTTCAGTGAGACTTTGACAACGTGTGAAAGTATCAGTTCTGGAGTTGACCTGGGAGCGCCACATGGGCAGCCAGGCCTGAGATCCTCAGCAGAATTTCCAGTCCAGACTATGTCACCAGCTTCTTGCACCTCTCTCTCTGGGTGCTGCTTTCCTGTTGGACTGTGTCAGGTACGGGTCTGAAGGAGGAAGGAAGTGGGTCCCAGGGGGAGGGACGATCATCCAAGTAGGTGAGACGCAGTTTGTTGAAAGGCACAGCTGGCCAGAGGGCGGCCCCAGCTGGCCCGGGGTGCCAGGAGGGGCATGCTCGCATCAGAAGAGAACACTTCCTTCCAAAAGGAAGTTAGAAGTCATTTCATCGGTTCCCTTGCTGTGAAGTTCTAGAAACTCAGGTTCAGGGAGGAGCAAAAGAACTGAATAGGCAATTTGTACGTCTTCTTTGGAAAAAATGTCAACGCGTACATGAAAAGACACTCAGCATCACTCATCATTGGGAAATGCAAATCAAATCCACAATGAGCTATCACATCTTTGAGAGACATTTGATCCTGCGTCAGATATGTATCCTTGCTGCTGGCGTTTGCCCCGGCAGGCTGGGTATCTGAGGGGTATGGTCAGGGCATCCTGGCTACAGCAGAGCTGCGGCAGAGGCCTCCACCCACCAGCCGTGGCCCGCCCCGGCCCCAGGCCTGATAGCTGGGTCTCTCTTCCCTCTCCCTCCAGGTCACTGGGCCGTAGTGAGAGAAGGCCTCACGAACCCTTGGATTCCAGATAACTGGTCCTGGGGCGGAGTGGCTTCTGAGCACTGCCCCGTGCTGGCCGAGTTGTACGCCGAAAAGGATTGGAACAAGAAGGAAGGCCCTCGGAACGGCAACGGGCTCCCCTTGGAGCGAAGTGAAGCCCACATTAAGCACGAGCGATGATGGTGCCCAGTCTGTCTCTCCCCGTCTGAGCCTGGAGGGCCCCAGGCGAGGGAGTTCACCCTTCTAGGTGAAGACACAGAGCCAGAACTGCGGTTTTGGTTTTCAGCCAGACAACACTAGCTCCTGGGCCTCAACCTGCCTGCCTTCCTTGTGGAGGTTCTTGGACCCTCAGAAGCACAATGGGGAACCGAGATGTCTTGTAATCCGGGGATGCCGTCCACCTCCGCAGACGCGGGCCAGTTGCTGCCCCTGGGTGGCAGCATGCACAGAACCATAATGGGGCTGACGGGGCAAGAGAGGGTGGTCTTAGGCCGCCAGGCCGAGTCTGAGCCATGCCAGAAGCGCTCGTTTCTGACCACCGGTCCATGATGCTCTGGCAGCAGATTGCATAAAGCTTTTAACTGTAATTGAGCTGAGCACTCTTCTCAAATATTTTGAGTGGTGACTTTTAGTTTTGTTTTGAAAAAATAAACAGACATGAACCTGCCTGGTTGCAGTGAGCGTCCCGGGGGTGGGTTCCTGAGCTGCGGGTGTTCTGTGCCCACTTCCAGTGCCTCTGTGAGGCTGTGGTCCAGGAAGCCTGCTCCTTTACACCCCCCACTTCGCAGAGATGCCTCTCACACCCCTGTCAATCCCCTGAGGTCACCAGAAAATCTTTCTATGACCTTCTCCCTCCCAGCCTGTTCTTCATTTTCTGACCCCTTTGCTAGACTGTCTTGTACCTCGAGCACCATTTGTGCCCCCGGGCATTCAGCATAGGTTCCCTGGTGCTGGGCTAGAATTCTCTCAGAATGATCCTTCTTCCTCCCTCCCTCCCCACCCACTTTAATTTTCAATCCGATTCCTAGCCCGGAGCCGCCCTATGGTGATTCTGAGCACTATCTGTTGATTCTCCATCTACAGGAAGCTAAGCCTGGGAGTATTGAAAGAGGGTTCATTTTTGTGGGGGCTGGGGGTGGGCAGGAGGACATGCCCATGCTAACGGCCACTAGGTACCCCCTCCCTTAGCTGGCATGGTTCTCCCTTAGGTCTCCTGTGAGACCAGATTATAACACCCATTTTACAGCCAAAGAAACCAAGGCTTAGAGTGCTTAACCTCCTGCAGGTCACATGACCGGTAAGTAAATAGATGGGACCCAAACCCAGCCCAAAAGCCCATGCCCACGTGTCCATTCTGTACTTGCCAACACCAATGCCGTGAAGGTAGCGACACTGAGAGTGAATGTGTGAATCATGAGCCTAGATTATGAGTTATTCCAGGTCACCATGGAAGCTGAGGGTTTATTCCTCCCTCCATGCTGAAAACCTGGTGTGGACCAGGACCCAGAAACTGTTGTCACTGCCCAGTGTGAACCCAGTGGCTTGGGGCTGGGGCCAGATGCAGTGAAAGAGGCCTCTTTTCCACCAAAGACCATCTCTGGACCACCCAGCTCCAAGGAGCATCACTGATCGTGGGCCCAGGAGGGAAGTCCTCCGGGTGCCCCGAGGGTGCCTGGGCATCAGCCGTGCCCCTCCGAGGGACCATCTCCAGTGGGAGGGTGAGTAGCGCCTCTCCCCTGGGCTCAGACTGTGCCATTGCAGGCACGAATGAGCCTGGACCAAAAGCACGCGCGTTAGAAGGAGAAGGCGTGGCAGGGAGGAAAGGATGCTTCCCAACAGAGCGGACCTTTCTCGGTGCCTCAATCTAAAGCGCAAACTTCACCAGCATTCACCAGCCAGCTGCGCCAGATTGGCTTTTGCCCCCAAACTAAGGAAAGAGCAGGCTGAAGTGAGGGGAAGGGAAAAGAAATCCAATTAAATGACCTTAATGAAGGTCATGGTGTTTGGGGAGGGGTGGGGGAGCGGAACGCAGCCCCCACATCTCAAACACAGAGCGGGTCCTGGTTTTGGCTCCTAATATTTAAGGCATTGCTTGGGAGGCCTGTCTGCAGGGGGGAGGCTGTCTGTCTGCAGGGGGGAGGCTGTCTGTCTGCAGGGGGGAGCCTGTCTGTCTGCAGGGGGGAGCCTGTCTGTCTGCAGGGGGGAGACTGTCTGCAGGGGGCAGCTGTTGTTCTAGCCCCAGTCTTCTTGGTTTTTGCTTTTGGGGGGATGATTTTGGCTTGGGTTTTGTTTTGTTTTGCTTTTTTCTGGTTTTTGCCATCTTTAATTAATAGATTTTATTTTTAAGAGTGGTTTTAGGTTTGTAGCAAACCAGAGCAGAAAGCCCAGCGGTCCCATACTCCGCTGTAGAGTTTCCCCTGTTGTTAACAGCATTGTGGTGTATTTGCTACCACTGATGAACCAGTATTGGTACATTATTATTAGCTGAAGTCCACGGTTTACTTTAGGGTTCACTCTTTGTACATTCCATGGGTTTCAACAAATGTATAAAGACCTATATCCACTTTTCTCTGATCTAAAAATCCTCTGTGCTCTGCCTGTTCATCCCTCCTCCTCCCCCTGGCAACCACTGGTCTTTCTACTCTCTCCCTAGTTTTGCCTTTTCTAGAAGGCCATATAATTGCAGTCAGTCAGTCTGTAGCCTTTTCAGCTTGGCTTCTCTTAGCAACCTGCGTTTAAAGTTCCTCTGTGTCTCTTCATGGCCTGACAGCTCCTTTCTTGTTATTGCCAAACCATCGTCCATTGGATGGACCTTATCTGCTCCCCCCCACTTGGATTGTTTCTAATCCCTCCCCTTCTCCAGACTTTCCTCCACCCCATCCCCAGCTCCGTCCGCAGATGGCACATTTCCATCCCATTCTTCCCTTCCTTCCCGCCCCCATTCTTTTCTTCCTTCTCCTACCTTTCAGGATTGTTCAAGAAGGGCCCCACTGCAAAGCCACTTTGTTGGAAAAGCCCAGAGGAGCCCCCTGATGTGGAACAGGGTTTCTGGTGTGTGGGTTTGGGCAGGAGACGGGAAGGAATTACGTGCTAGGGACCCGGAAAGGCCCAGGCGCCAAGTGGAAGCTCTGGCGTCCTCCTTGGGTCCCTCTATCCCAGGAGCACCATAGATGACCAGACCCCCCCCACCCCCACCCCAGTGGAACCTTCCTCCCTTGACCATTTTCCCACGAGAGGTCTCTCTCTGCGTAGGAGCCAGTGAGCAGGGCCCCTGGGCCATCTCTCCATTCTGCTGCACCATCCGCACCCTTTACTGTCCCCGGACTTAGCAGGGCATGCTCGGAGGGCAGCCAGAAGCCCTCCCGTGCCACAAATAATTGGGCCCAAGCTAGGACTCCCTCGCTACTGCTCGGAAGATGTCAAGGGAAGCAAAATGGGCATGGCCTTTAAGAGCGGGCTACATTCGTCTTTGTGTTTCTTTGGATCTAAGGGTTGGAGTTCTCCCCCGATGCTCCCACGCAGATACCGTCCCACTGGAGTGAGAGAGCACCCCGCCTGGCAGAGGTCGCCCCGTCTGGAATGGGAGGTGAGTGCACCAGGTGAGACTGCCACAGGGTCTGCTTTCAAAGGAAAGGAATTCATGGCTTCAGCACCGCCCAGTTCTCTTAAACTGTCTCTTGTCTTTAAATAAGCCTTGTCCATGCTTATTGGCTCCTTACTGTCTTGAGCACTTGACACTTTTAACTGCTTTATTCCTTCGAAGAGTCCATTGTGGTTGGTCCTATTGTTTGTGCCCTCTTACAGACGGAGGAACTGAGGCAGGGGGAAGGGAAGGATGAGGGACTCTGGTTTCACTGTGATAAGGAAGGCAGTTGGTCTAGGACATGTCAAGCAGACCCAGAGGGCTGTGGAAAATAAGTGGCCTTGACAAAGGCAGGTAGAGCTAATGCCAAAGGGACAGGCCAGGGAGCTATTGCTGGGGCTTCTGCCTTTCTGGAAACCATGTGGGAGGCTGACCTAGGCATTGGTCTTAGCCCAGCACAGACTGAGGAAAGCAGGTGGGAGAGGGCCAAGGGCACAGGGGCAGGACGAGCTTTGAAGGCCGCGGGGTGGGCTGGGGCATCCTGGGACCTCCGGCTCTTGCCTCCTACAGTGTCTCCTGCCCCTCCCTTTTTCTCTGATGGGTGCTGGGTGGCCCGGTTGGGCTTGGGAACATGGGCAGTTCGGGTGCATAAGAGCGGTGAAGTTCAGAGGCTAGTGAACGAGAGCATCAGGCAAAAGGGTGTCGCTTTGTCTGCGGAGAGCCCTGTCCTTGGGTGGCAGTGGTTCCCCATGGCCGGGGAAGGAGGAAGAAGAGGGAGAGGGAGAAAGCCTCTGAAGACCTTCCCCACCTGCTTGTGTCTTCCTGAGTCTGGGGTCAAACCACATGAGGCAGGTTTCCTTTGGTGCTTGCGGTGGTGGGGATGCTTTATAGTTAGTCTGCTGAGCAGGCTGGGCTCCAGTCAACAGTCAGTGTCAGGAGATGGACCTGCCTAGGCGCCCTGCCGACTTCCAGTATGATGAATTATTTAATTAGATGATTATCTGGGGGTGAGGGTGGGAGCAGCAAGGACTCAGGTTTTACTGTGATGAGTGAGTGCAATTGGCCTGCATTGTGTGATCGCATGGAACCCACGGCCTTGGACAGAGTCCGACTTCGCAGCTGGAGGAAGGTGTCTGGCCCCTGGGCCCAGGCCCGCTGTGTTTCCTGTGGAAGTTTCTTCCTTCTGGGCTCTGAGATGGACTGAGGTGGCATTTTTAAAGATTTTATTTATTTATTTGCCAGAGAGATAGAGAGCACAAGTAGGCAGAGAGGCAGGCAGAGGGAGAGGGAGAAGCAGGCTCCCTGCCGAGCAGGGAGCCCGATGCGGGGCTTGATGCCAGGACCCTGGGATCATAACCAAAGCCAAAGGCAGCCGCTTAACCGACTGAGCCACCCAGGTGTCCCCAAGGTGGCATTTTTAAACAGATTCCAGAGATGGCTTTCTCTGAAAAGAAGGCCAACAGGACACTGTCCCTGTTGTCGGCTTTAAGGAATCCTATGAATTTTCCTGCCTAGAAAAATCCACCCCGCCCTTCACTGAGGAAATGCCAGGATGAAGCCAGCTATGCCGTGGATTTGCTGGGTGCTGGTGGGTACCCTGAACTGCATTTCCCTGGCCCTCCCTTTATCTTTTGCTCTAAAGTGTTATGTCTAACCAATCTGTCGAACAAGGAGAATCTCTTTCTGGGGCAGTGGGCCTCCCAGTCTGGTGCATGGAAAAGTCACCCAGGAGCTTTCTGGCAAGGAGGTTTCCTAGCCCTAACCCAGGGAGTCCGATGACAGAGCGCTGATTAGACCTGGCCTGTGGCCCAGCAGAATCAATGAAGGTCCCCTGAGACTCACACTTTGAGAAATACCAATAGCGGGGGAGGGCTTTAAGTGCCTAGAAACGTGGCTGGGCCTCCTATACACAATACTAAAGATAGAGCCTTGAGAAGAAATGGGGTAGTTGATTAGAACTTTAGTGTGGCTTTTAATGACTAAGTAAGAGATTGCTTCAGTGGGGACAGTAACTATGACTAGTGCCAAGTCTCTGTAGGAGATCAGCTGAACAAGGGAAGGCTCAGAGTTGACAGACGCGGAAGCATTGTTACTGTGACTGTTTAAGTGAGCCCTGGGCTTGCTGATGCTGACCGGTTCGTTTCATGACTGTAATTACCCAACACAAGACCAGATTTCAAGGACTGATGTTGAGTAAATCCTCACTATTTGGTAAACACCTGGAGCTCTAGGAATTTATCAAACTTCCCTTTTGAAATTTTCTGAACATCATTCTTTTTTTTTTAAGATTTTATTTATATATTTGACAGAGAGACACGGTGAGAGAGGGAACACAAGCAGGGGGAGAAGGAGAAGCAGGCTCCCCGCAGAGCAGGAAGCCCGATGCAGGGCCCGATCCCAGGACCCTGGGACCATGACCTGAGCCGAAGGCAGACGCTTAACGACTGAGCCACCCAGGCGCCCCCTGAACATCATTCTTCATCACTTACTTATTCAAGTTTAAATTACTGGAGAATTTTTGAGAAGCTTGATCTTTTCATGTTTATCACACAGTGGGGTCTCCTGGGCCCGCATGCAGGCAGCAGTCTGACTGAGTAGTTCCTGTGCGGAGGCCACCTAGGCTCAGTGAATGTATGGGAGGATCAGCCCCGAGAGCCTTCGCAGGCAGCTTCCAGACGGACCCTGGAGGCCAGGGCCCCACTTCCCATCCTCAACATAACATGCAGTATGTCATGTTCTCAAAGCCTAGGCTTGGCCCTGACAAATCTAGTCACTTACCTAACCCCTAAATATGTCGGCCCTTGAGAATCCCAGTTTATAGGTGTGTTTACCTGGGGGTTATGGGGTCATGAGGGAGAAGGCCTCTGTGTGCTTTCCCGTGTTTCATCTGAAGACTGTCCAAAAGCTTAAAGGGTTTGAAGGGTGCACTGTTACCAGGTACCTGGGGTGTGGGACAGAAGACCTCAATTCACCCCAGAGATGTGGTACATCAAACCACAGTGGGGCTTGAGGTCAGAAACTGAATTCCGCAGCCTTGCCTGTGATCCAGAAACCATGGGGACCTCAGTCTGTGAGCCATTCTTAGCTGTTGAGCTGAGAAATCTCTTTGGCCAGAGGATCTGTTATCTTTCCTCAATATCTCCTCTCTCATTTCTCTAAAAGGAAAACACTGGTTTTACTAAGGAGTGTCTTAGGTATTTGTGTTAGGAAGCTGTGGTAAGACAAAATAGCATCTGAATTTCAAACTGGTCTCATCTCATATAGATAGATGTTGCTTGTTTCAAACAGACGTTAAAATGTTATTGAAGATAACGCTCAAGACTATAAACAGTATTTAATATACTTTAGCATATAATATACTTCATATATTTATACGGAGTATGTATATTGGTTTTTAGCCCAACTTAAGGAATTTTTATGGCAAACTCGTTAGTGAGAGATTAAAATTGGACATAAGAGGACACCTGATTTTGGAATAGGACTGCAGACTTCAGTAACTCCTTCCCTTGAGCTCTTGAAAGGGATATACAAATCTTTCCTAGAAGAATTCTGCTTGCTTTAAGTCAAAGTGTAGGTCTGGGTTTAGCTCTAAGGGTTAACCAGCAAGATGAGTCATCTAGAGGGCCTCCAGCCTGAAATAAAATAGGGAAAGGAAGAGCCGGAAGAGAAAGGAAAAAGAGTTCGTGGTCCCTCTAGTGGGCAGTTGTGAGGTGAGACTCAAATTCACTCAAGAGCCTGAATAACTGACTCTAGAGAGTTAGGTCTTCTTAGATTCAGAAGGCCCATTTACCTGTAAGATCCAAGATACTTAATTTCCTGGGAGAAACACAGTAATTAACCGGGGAAGTACAGTAAATATGATAGAGGTTATTTTTAAAGGGCCAGAGAAACAAATAATCTGATTTATCTAAATTTGAGATATTTACACCTGAGGTAATCATATATTTGGTGCTCTTAAGAACTTTGAGATAAATTATGTTTGGGACTTTTTCAGGTTTATCTAATCCCCATATTGGAAAAAATAATCTCCAGCATTCCACAATCTCTTGAAATTATCACCCACTGAAATTCCATCTATTTTTTAAAAGAACAAACCCTCACAACTTTGAGGAGTTCATATCTTAGAATAATCTGACATATATTAAATGGAAAAATCAAAATACAGAAAAATATGTGTAGTCTGTGCTAAAAATAAAACAGTAGTTTTGCATAATTGATTGTATATGCATAAAATATCTCTGGGATAGAGCACACACAAATAGTGAAGCTGGTTGTCTTGTTTTCCCAAGCTTCATTGAACTATGATTCACATAGAACATTATGGTGTACAATGTGATGACTTGATACATTTATATATTATGAAATGATTACCACAGTAGAATTAGTTAATACCTCTACCACGTCACATAATTACCATTTCTTTCCTGTGGTGAGAACATTTAAGATCTACTCTCTTAGCACCTTTCAAGTATATAATACAGTACTGATAACTATAATCACCATGCTGTACATTAGATCTTTCAGAACTAACTGGAAGTTTGTATCCTGTGACTAACATCTCCCCAGCTCCATCCCCTGGTAACCAGTATTCTACTGTTTCCATAGTTTAGCTTTTTTAGATTCCACATATAAGTGATAATCATATAATATTTGTCTTTCTCTGATATATTTCACTTAGCATAATGCCTTCAAGCCCATCCACGTTGTTGCAAATGGCAGGATTTTTTTCTTTCTCATGGCTGATTAATATTCCACTGTGTGCATGCATACGTATATCACATCTTCTTTATCCACTCAACTTTTGACAGACAGTTAGGTTATTTCTATATCTTGGCTATTGTGAATAATGCTGCAATGAATATAAGAATGCAGATAGCTATTCAATACCCTATTTTTATTTCCTTTGATTATATACCCAGAAGTGGGATTACTGGATCCTATGGTAGTTCTACTTTTAATGTTTTGAGGAACCTCCCTACTGTTTTCCATACTTGTTGTGCTGATTTATATTCTTACCAACAGTGCACAAGCATTCCCTTTTCTCCATATCCCTGCCAATACTTGTTATCTCTTGTCTTTTTGGATAATAGCTATTCTAACAGGTGTGAGGTGATAGCTCATTGTGGTTTTGATTTGCATGTCCCTGATGATGTGTGATGTTGAATGTCTTTTCACATACATGTTGGCAATTTATATGTCTTCTTTGGAAAAAATGTCTATTCAGTTCTTTTGCTCATTTTTAAAAAATTTTTTATTATGTTATAATCACCATACATTACATCATTAGTTTTCTAATGTTTTATTTATTTATTTATTTATTTATTCATGAGAATCAGAGAGAGAGAGAGAGGCAGAGGCAGAGGGAGAAGCAGGCTCCCCACTGAGCAGGGAGCCCGATGCGGGGCTTGATCCCAGGACACTGGGATCATGACCTGAGCCGAAGGCAGATGCTAAACCATCTGAGCCACTCAGGCTCATCATTAGTTTTTGATGTAGTGTTCCATGATTCATTGTTTGTGCATAACACCCAGTGCTCCATGCAGAACGTGCCCTCTTTAATACCCATCACCAGGCTAACCCATCCTCCGACCCCCTCCCCTCTAAAACCCTCAGTTTGTTTTTCAGAGTCCATCATCTCTCATGGTTTGTCTCCCCCTCAGATTTCCCCCCATCCCTCCCACCCCCCACCACTCCAGCAACCCTCAGTTTGTTTCCTGAGATTAAGAATTCCTCATATCAGTGAGGTCATATAATACATGTCTTTCTCTGATTGACTTATTTCGCTCAGCATAACACCCTCCAGTTCCATCCACGTCGTTGCAAATGGCAAGATCTCATTCCTTTTGATGGCTGCATAATATTCCATTGTATATATATACACCATATCTTCTTTATCCACTCATCTGTCGATGGACATCTTGGCTCTTTCCATAGTTTGGCTGTTGTGGACATTGCTGCTATAAACATCAGGGTGCACGTACCTCTTCGGATCCCTACATTTGTATCTTTGGGGTAAATACCCAGTAGTGCAATTGCTGGATCGTATGGTAGCTCTATTTTCAACTTTTTGAGGAACCTCCATACTGTTTTCCAGAGTGGCTACACCAGCTTGCATTCCCACCAACAGTGTAGGAGGGTTCCCCTTTCTCCACATCCCCGCCAACATCTGTCGTTTCCTGACTTGTTAATTTTAGCCATTCTGACTGGTGTGAGGTGGTATCTCATTGAGGTTTTGATTTGGATTTCCCTGATGCCAAGCGATGTTGAGCACTTTTTCATGTGTCTGTTGGCCATTTGGATGTCTTCTTTGGAAAAATGTCTGTTCATGTCTTCTGCCCATTTCTTGATTGGATTCTTTGTTCTTTGGGTGTTGAGTTTGATAAGTTCTTTATAGATTTTGGATACTAGCCCTTTATCTGATATGTCATTTGCAAATATCTTCTCCCATTCTGTAGGTTGTCTTTTGGTTTTGTGGACTGTTTCCTTTGCTGTGCAAAAGCTTTTTATCTTGATGAAGTCCCAATAGTTCATTTTTGCCCTTGCTTCCCTTGCCTTTGGAGATGTTTCTAGGAAGAAGTTGCTGCGGCT